GTTTCAGTGTGGGACCTGAGGGGGAAGGCTGTGGATTGCTATCCTCAGGCAGAAAGGACACATTAGAATGTTACTTTTTTTAGATGATTCAACCCTTTTGTAGTCCCCCTGTGGTTTCAGTCTGACATACTCTTTTCTTCTCAAAACCTACATGGGAAAAGTTATTCTTACAAGTTATAGAAACCAGAAATAAAGATTCTCACACTCTGAGAAGATGGAAAAAGGACAATCAAAAAGTACTTAAATTCTTGTTTCTGATCAATTACAATAGGTCCTTTAGGGGACAGTAGGTCATGGGGTTCCTGCCCAGGACTGGCTTGCAGGTTAGTTATGTAGACAAGATATCTAAAAAGTATTATTAGCAAGGAGAAGAAACACAGAAGCTCTTGGTTTTTGAGGAAGATTAACTATTGAAACAAAAATTGTGTTCTGTATTTCCCATCTATAGTGCCTTCTCATATAATTTCTTCTAACAACTATAGTGTTGCAGAGATTTCTCTTCAGTTTGAATATGCACTGTCAGAGATAAGTAAGTGTAAGTAGACATATGTGCCGTTTTTATATGTGGAAGAAACTGGAAAAGCTGGTGGTCCTCTTCTTACACTGTCAGCAGAAAGCAAAAAGAAATCCTGACTGAGGTAAATGTTGTTCTAGTTTCTACTGTAAAATATTTCTCATGATTACTATTTTAGTACCAAGCATGTGTTAGTGACCTACTGTGCTTAACAAATAATCACATGCAATAGCATAAATCTCATGTCCACTTCCATTCGTTTTAATAATGTAGAGCATGTGGCTAATGTGTGACAGCCTGTTGTCAACATGGTTTCCAATATGAACTTGTCCACATTCAAGGAGCTGTAGTCACAGCTGCTCAGGAAAAGTCAGTGTCTCTGCCCCAGTGGAGTCTTATGTTTTAGCTGAGCAAGGGACACAAGCATGAAGTATAGGCTCTAGGCTATCTGATGGCCAGCAGAGAGCTGAGAGATTATCTAACACTGCCTTCCCTGAGAGGAAAACCGAGGCCCAGAAAGGCTCAAAGACTGGAGAGAGTGGGTCAGAGCTGGGTCACAGCCAACTAGAACCAGGCTTCAGGAGCCCAGGAGTTATTTGTCCTATTATTTAAAGGGTTTTTTCTTCCTTTGTCTGAGTTCAGGCTGTCTGATGTAGACTTTAAAAGCCAAATGAGTTGAAGACAGGAAGATGGGTGGCTTTGGGTCATCCAAGAATTAAAGGAAGAGGTACAATTTGGATGTAGGTGTAAACAGTAAGTTGAGGGAACAGTAATCCATCCAGTGAGAACGAAATGTGTATTCTCTTCTTGGAAGAGAGACAAAACTAACCAGACTGACTTGAAAGGCACATACTGGGCAATGCAAAGAAATTGGCTTGGAAGGATTGAAAGTGTAGGGGAGGAAGTGGGACTTCCATGCTGTAGACTCTGGGGAACTTGACTCCATCCTTGAGCGTGAAAGGACCCAGTGAAAGTGGGATGAGGGGAAGATGAGTTTGTGTGCTAGAAGGATTGTCTGCATTTTCTTTTCCTATATTCTGTATATTGGTTTTTCCTTCCAAGTAGGTTAAACACTCTGTCAATCAGAGTAGGCAACTTATGCTGCAGCCACAAATGCATCCTGGAATTCAGAGGCTTAACACTTGAGTGTGCTGCTTGTGTGCCCTGCTCATTCAACACAGGTGCATAGGGTGGGAGTTCTGCACTTACTCATTCAGGGACCCAGGCTGACCAAGGTCCACCATCCAGAGCATCACTGCTCACAGTGGCGAGAGAAAAGAGCTGGATGGAATATGTCATCACTTTCTCACTTCACCCTGGAAGTGATATATATCACTTCCCTCAACTCATTGGCTAGAAGTAGTCACATCCCCCCGCCCCCCACCCAGCAAGGGAGTAGTATTTCTTTCAAGACTCTTTGAGGGACATGTAATACTACTCGTTTAAGAGAGAAAATATAGTGGTAAGAGTGCATAGCTAGGTGCAGTGGTGCACACCTGAAATCCTAGGATTTCAACTAGGAGGTTGAGGCAGGAGAATCACAAGTTCAAGGCCAGCCTGGACAACTTCATAAGAACCTATTTAAAAATAAAAATTCAGAAAAGAGTTGGGGGTGTAGCTCATGGCAGAGTGATTGCCTAACACATGTGAGGCCCTGGCTTCAGAGTGAAGACCCAGAGCCATACTGCTGGGATCCAGAACCTGGCCTTTGCAATGACTAGGACCTTGGGAAAGCCACACACCTCCCCGGCAAGTTAGTTTCATAGTCTATGAAATTGGGGCAGAGAGAAAGACCAGCCTCACAGAGCTACTGTGATGCGTCTGAGCTTCCCATGAGTGCTTGGAGCACTGTGCTGTATAATCGCCGGCAGGTGTTATGGTTGGTATTATTAGTATAATATGTTGGCTTCCTGGACAGTGTCCTAAATGAGGCTAAAGTTCTGACTCTGGTTGAGCAACCAGAGGGGAAGAGGTGGTGGCAATCTAGGTATGGCTGGCTGGTGTCTAAACAATGGTGGTGACATTGGGTAAAGAAAAGATGGACAGGAGAGTGCAGGAGGAGTAAAACCAAGCAAGGCTTTGCTCACTGCTAACCCCCCTGCATGTCAGGAGGCTGTGAATGGCTGGGAGAGTGAAGGTGGAGTCTTCAGGCAAGTTAGGGGCCACGTGGGGAAATGGGCTGATGTAAGATGTAGAAGTGGGGAGAGGGACAGGCACAGGAGGCTGTAGGAAATGCAAGCATGTGACCCAGGCAAGAGGAGGAACTGGAGCTAGTTCTTGTTGAGCACATTTCAGTAATGGTGACAAGGGACTGCTCCCAGTCATTGACTGGCTGCAGCCCTGGGCCAGAAGGTTTGGGTTTAAATCCCAGCTCCAGCACACCACGGGCCCTGGCACCCAGCCTCCTCTCAGCACGGTGGGGATGATAAGCACACCAGCTCAGGCGGGGGTTAAGTGACATGCTGCCTGTGCCGTGGTAAGAAGAGTGTGTGGTGACTGATGGGTAACGGTCATTCTTTGCTCACTGAGGTTTTAATGAGCAGAAATGTGGGGCTTTCTTCTAAGTGATGAGTTTTTCTGAGTGTAATGCTTAGAACTTCCATCGGCAGCAGTCTGGTGAATACTCATGGGCCTGGTTGGTCCCACATCATTTCTAGTCCTCATGCCTTCATTTCTGATTCTTAACCTGAATAGTCAGTCAGTGAACACATATTTTTAGCTTTTCAGAGAATAACAGATTACAACAGACTGAAAAGTAACCAAAGTAGAACATTTAAAAGGCTAATTTAAGATCAGTGCTTCCCCTTTTAAAATTGTACACCACTGTTGGCTGGTTGGTAGGAGCCACTGCCCTCGCCCCTTGAGTTATGAAATTACCTCCAAGCAGAACATACTGCTCTATCTAATTCTATTAATAATTTGCTGGTTAATTGCCTCTGTTTTTTTAATATGTCTAGTTTAAGTTGCACAGTCTTCTAAGGCACACACGTCTCTCCTCAGGGGCACGTGCAATCTAGCATTTATGGTATTTCTTATCATTCCTCTGAGAAATTAAGAACGTCCCAGGTATTCTCGTGGGGATGTAGAGTGTGGCCAGTGATAGTGCAAGACACGTGCCATTCTGTTCAGTGGGTACTTGAGAACTCTGTATTGGCCGGTGCTGTGCCAGCTCCTGGTACATAGCAACCAGGGCCTTGTCCTCAAGGGGCTCATAGCCCAGCCAAGTTCATAAGCTGTTGTTGAGTCATTTGTCCTATTATTTAAAGATTATATACTCTGCTGGCATAAATGATACAAGTCAGCCTCTCATGCTTTTTCTGGGTCCACATGATTTATTCTTTATTTTTTGTTTTTGGCAGTGCTTGGGTTTGAACCCATTGTGCTCTATTACTGAGCTTTTATTTTTTATTTCCCTCCCTCCCTTCCTCCCTTCCTTCCTTCCTTCCTTCCCAGGGTCTTGTTAGGTTGTTGAGACTGGCAACTCTTGTTGCTCACTCTTGACCAGCTGCTTTTCTGGATTTAGTATGGGCAGCCCTCCCTGCTCATGTTGTCCACAGAACTGTGGAAGGGAAGACATCACATAACATATGGCCTGTTTCTACATTTTTGAGCTCTTTAGATATACCTGATGCCATTTCTTGTTATTCTTATACCACCACTGACTAGTTGATACATGTAATAGTTTTAAACTGAGTAGCTTTAAGGGTTTAAGAAACTTCAACCAAATGATCTTTTTAGAAATAAAAGTATTATGAAAGAAATATGGCCATCTGCCATAATAACTATCTACTTCCCCAAATGGAGTTTTCCTATCTCCCTATTTTATTTAAACTTGTAATGTATTAACTGATTCATTTAGAAAATACTTATAAGTTATAATTTACCGCTCCCCCACCACACCCTGTGGTACTGGGAATCAAACCCAGGGGTGCTCAACTACTGAGCTACATCCCCCCCACCTTTTTAAATTTTGATACAGGGCCTCATTAAATTGCTGATGCTGGATACAACTTGTGATCCTCCTTCTTCAGCCTTCCAAGTAGCTGGGATTATAGGTGCTCATGTGCCCAGCACAGTTTTTAAACAGATGTAGATCACCTCCTTTGTTCTGTAACAGAATACAAAAATTGTCTAGCACTGCCTCTGTGCTCCAAGTTTACCTACTACTGGTGAAGGGACTGTGCCAGCAATAAAAGTGAAGTTAACTAACAATACAAGATGATGCGAGAGAGCCCTAGGTCATGGTGAGTGACGGCTGGGTGAATGGAGTAGGCCGTGAGGCCTTGGGAAGGAGAGAGAAGGGCTGAGTTTGACTGGACTATAGACTTAGAAAAGATTATTTGGAGATTTGTTTAGAGTTTACCTTTTTGTCGTAGGCTACTGAAATCTAGATACCATCATGTTTATAGGTTTGTGGTGAGGTGGAAGGGAAAGGTGGGAAACTTAAGGTAAAAGAATGTACTGTTCCTTTCTTCCCCTGGTCTTACCGTTACCCCCGGCAACAGCTGACCTTCTGGGAAAGAATGTGTCTTTCCTTCCATAGGCTTCAGTCAAGAACTCTGACATCTTGATACTACCAGATTGGATGCTAAAACAGCAATAAGACAACCGGAACTTTGAGGAAAAAACTTACTGTATCCAATAGTTCGTACATGGCAGAAGTAAAGTCAGTGTTCCAGGAAGTTCTTCCAAACCAAGGGCAGCTGTTTGTGGAAGGTATAAGCACAATGGTGCTCTGTAAACCCAAACTTTTACCCTTAAAATCTTTGACTCTGGAAAAACTGGAGAAAATGCAGCAAGCAGCACAGTTCACTAGCAAGAAATGTCAGAAAAAGAACACAACAGCAAATAACCCATTGATGAGACTTACCATAGGGAACACCCTTCCTTACTTACCTACCACTTAGTAATTAGAAAGTGTTCTGCAGCTATATGCTGAAAGTAGGATTTAATAAAACTGGTAACAGTCATGCTCACGTAAATGAAAATAAAATTCCCAAGATTGGTAAAACTTGTGAATTTAAACCGTGGTTTGTGTTGACCACAAGCAGTTGAAACTCTGAATTGAATCTCACAGAATTTTCTTTGACTCATGTTTTTAGAATTTCAAATTGTTCTTCATTCCTACTGTTACCAGTTTTAAATTTACAGGCACAAATGACTAATTGTAACTTTTATATACAGAGGATCTTTGTAAGTTTATTAAATACCTGAATTTGAAGATCAAAAAAAAAAAAAATGTGCTGTTCCTCTGTCAAGTGCTACAGGTATTGACCTTCTTGTGTGAAGGAACCTAAGAACTGGTCCCATGAGCACCTTGTCATTGGCTCATCTGCAGGATGGTCTGTGTTCCAGTGTAGTCTGGAACTGGTTTACCATAAAGAGCCTCAGACATTGAGGAGGCTCTGTTTTGTGTCTTTGTTTCTGGTTTTCCTTTAGTTGTCTTCACAATGGTTTCTTTTTAGACATCTGACTCAAATGACCACCTCGTGCCACCTTGCACAAAATATCTAGTGCTTGCCCTTTGTTCCCTTCCACTTGGGAAAGTTTATAGATGGAATGAAGGCAAGGTAGTTAGATCCCAACTTTTGTCCATGCAGTCTCATCTATCACCTATTTCTAGGAGGCATTTCAAAGGCCATGTGGCTTTTTGTGAAGTAATATAACACAGATCTGAACTATACATCAACCATTGTTGCACCAACCATTAAGATTAATTTCTTTATGGGATAAAAAGTGAGCAAGATTAGAATTTGAAATAGTCTGAGGGTCTAAAGCCCAATACAAATTTAAAGTATGACTTATGATATAGTCTTTTGTTTCTTTAACTTCTGTTATCAAAATTAGTATCATTGTCAATTGAGATAACCAACCATACTGAGGAAATTTCAGGGGCTTTGTAATCCATTCTGAGCAGTCAGACAGATTGAGCTTAGAAAGGAACTACTGTTTGTAGTGAGGTATTTATTTGAGCAAGTGTATAGTGTTGTAAAGAATCCTGAGAACTCTTATAATTTTATATTTTACTTCCTGTCTTATCTAGGCAAGTATCAACCATACACTCTGCTGTTCACCCCCGCCCCTAGCCTTTCTTATAATCCAGACTACAGAAACATAGATACAAGGTACAATCAATCTGGGAATAAAAAAGAATTTCCCCCATGGGAAATGATGATCCCCTATGGACCCAAGGGAAGACAAACATATATGCTTATTTTTTACCCCTAAGGAGAATTTAGCAAGTGACCCCTTCTCCCAGTGGAGACCTCCCTATTTCTGAGCAGTGGCCCTTAAATACTGCCCTGGCTGTGTGGGGAAAGGTGGACACCTGTGTTGTCTCAGTCACCATCAACATTTACAATATTGCTTTTTTAATCTACCTGTTCCTAATTTTACTCCCACTCTAACTTCTGCTGGTAGTTCATAGTGAACAGTGAGGGACATAGTCATAAATCTGTAGCTTCCTACTTTTTATTCCAGAAGTGTTCTTTGAAACAGTTATGACTCAGAACAAAACAAAATAAAAACCATATTATTGAGGAGACAAAGATCTAAAATGGAAGGAAATATGCATTTAAGGAATACGTTACCAGGCCAGGGCTGTGGTAGAGCGCTTGCCTAGCATGTGTGAGACACTGGGTTTGATCCTGGGAACCACATAAAAATAAACAAATACAATAAAAGTATAAAAAAGGAAATATGTTACCAAAATATATTACAATATTAACATTTTTACACTGATAATATACAATCTATCAGTCTCTTGCCACATTATTGGCAGGAAATATTAATGATTTTTTATTAATGTAAAACTTTTTCTTCACCAAGAGTTAGAGAGCTTCCTTTTGATACAGTATTATTTCATTTATGAATTAGAACTTGCTTTATACTGTTCTCTTGAGCTTAAACTTGATGTTTCTCAATCAGTTTATCCATTGATGGTGGGAAATAGTGTCCATTTGAAAGGCATCCTGATTGGAAGCTGAATAGTTGTTTTACTTTGGGAGAGAAGTCCTACAGAGTTCATACCAAGTCCAGGGAGGATGCGGTCCCTTTACTTTCCATTTGAAGTCTTGGAGTGTATCATCATCTGCGACTCTGTCATTTCACGTGAATTTTCTTCGGGAGCTGACCTCACTGCGCTGGAAATTGATACGCTGACTTGACGTTTCAGCATCTTCATGACCTTTCTCTTGTACCCTTTACATGCAAAGAAATATATAAAAGGGTCCATGCAGCAGTTGAAGTTCATCAAGCACACCGTGAAGTGCAGAGAAATCTGGAATGAATGCCTTTGGTGGCACTCGAGGAGGTCAGAGAAGTGAAGTTTCTTGATCATGTGTTGGATAATTGCCACGTGGTAGGGCGTGAAGCAGAGAACAAACACGACAATGATGAAAATGATTGTGTTGAGGGCTTTTCTGTTTACACCAGATTTCTCTGCGAGTGGGTTTTGTTTGGCAGTTCTGAAGAGCTTGCAGCAGATCTGCGAGTAGCAGATGAGGATGATCATGAGTGGAAGCACGTATCCAATAAAACACGCACCCAGTAGAATCCAGGGAAGAGACTCTGTGTCTTCAAAATTGGGATACTCCATGCAAGTGATCCTTTCATTCTCCTGCTTGGACATGGGGCTGATGAGTAGTGGGAGAGTTTGAGCAAAGACCAGAATCCAGACAAATATGCACACAGCTTTGGCATGCTCAATTCTCTTCATCTTGTTGTAGCGGAGAGGGTGCACCACGGCAATGAAGCGGTCGATGCTCAGGCAGGTCATGAAGTTCACCCCGGCGTAAGTGTTGATGTAGAACACCAGAGCTGTTATCCTGCACAGGGCGTCACCCATCTGCCAGTCAAAGCCCAGTGCATAGTAGGCTATCCGCGTTGGCAAAGCCGTGGTGAAAAGGATGTCAGAAATCACCAGATTCATGGAATAGAGGGTGGTAGAGTTGATTTTTTTCCTGTTTTGGACAATGACAACCAAGGCCAGTAGGTTTCCCACCAGCCCGATGATGAATACGAGGCTATAATGCAGAGGCATTACTATCCTGGCTGTGTCTTGGTGTGCATAGAGGTCACAGTCATTTCCCTGAGGAGTTGTGGGAGGTGTGGTGAAATTGCTAGCCATCTCTAGACCCAGTGGTGGCAGGCAGGATCTCTAGGAACAAAACAAGGCTCTGTTTAATTAAAGACATATTTAACTCAGAGCAACTTAATCTACCACTTATATATCTAGTTTTTAAAGTTTCACTATTGATACAGTTTTTTTAAATCTATGATATATCATGTGGTTCCATGTATGATAACAGGAAGAACAGAGAATAAGATGTATATTTTTACTCTCACAGTTTGTGGCTTTGGTAAAGCCCTGGCAAAGGAACTGGAACCATCTAAATAGGGCAAATGCATTTTTGTGAGAAGAGGGGATGCACTAACTTTTGGGGCAGAAATTCCCCTTCCTTTTTTCTGAATCACTGTCTGATTAAGAATAAAGTCATGTAAAGCACCCCACATTTTAGGTGGGCATTAAATTTTGCTTTTAAATTGAATTTCAGTTGGACCTTTTTGTTGTCGTTATTGTTTTCCAAATGTATATCACTGCCAGGAAATGAAATTAGTCACACACTGTGGTGTAGTGAATATGAACTTACCACAGTGATCTGATTTGTGTTAACCTAAAAAGTATGAGAAATAAGCATAGGCCTTATTAGGAACTGAAAGTTAGGGTTTCAGAGAAAAAGAAGAAGGTGGTGACCATGACAACCAGGACTAAAATGACAAGAAGGAAAAGAAAGAAAAAGGGAGAGAAAAGACTTAAGATGTTTCAGGAAGTTTTAAAATCACATGCGGGTCGTGCTGTCTGCACATGGGTTTGAGTGTCCTGCTGTGCCCACTGAGTATCTTCAGGTCCCTGTGGTCTATGTGCTTTTCTGTGTCTAGATTTTATGTAGATATTTGATAGATATTCCACAGTCCAGTTTGTTGATGCATGATTTGTATAGCTACTCCTTCCATGCACATTTAGTTTATTTCTACTTCCTTTCTTGTTATATAAATAATGTTAAGACTGAAATTTCAAATCCAAAATTGAAAACTCCTGCAGTAAGCTCCCCATAAGAGGGTAAATGTTCAATCATTATTGATTAAATACTTTTTATATGAAAAAAAGAGGGTAAATGTTGGTAAAAGTAGGAAAAGCAGAGCAATAACTCCTGTGATTATTATTATTATTATTATCTTTTTAAAATAACTTTTCTTTATTTATGTGGTGCTGAGGATCGAACCCAGTGTTTCACATGTTCTAGGCAAGTGCTCTACTACTGAGTCACAGCCCCATTCCTGTATGTGATTATTTTTAGAAAATAAGTTACTTATCTGATGGTATTATCTGAATAAATCTCATATGAAAATCACCAAAATTAAGGGGGAATTTTTTTTTTTAGAGAGAGAATTTTTTAAATTTTTTTTTCAGTTTTCGGTGGACACAACATCTTTATTTTATTTTTATGTGGTGCTGAGGATCGAACCCAGCACCCCGCACATGCCAGGCGAGCGCGCTACCGCTTGAGCCACATCCCCAGCCCCAGGAAAAAATTTTAATGGATCTAGTCATGCTGTGCTTGTGGTATTTTAAGAGAAAAGGATAATATCCTTTCTCTCAATGAAAGCTCTGACTACCAATCCACTTGTCTGCCTGCTGTATTAAGTGTTGGGTCTGTGCCAGCATTGGAGCAATCTTGAAACAGGTACGCTCATGGGAATTAAGGTTTATCTTAGGACTGCCCTCCTAGGTGTGCACTGCAGTGTAGATAGGCGAATCCTTACAGCATGCAAATGTACCCTAAAACAAAAGAGAACAAGAACAGAAACAGAACATTTTGAAATCTATAAGAGGACCAGAAAGGACACTATGAGGAAGAACACAAGAAGGAGGATGGTAAATAGAAAACAGAAAAAGGAGGTAGAAATGTGTCCCAGAAAACTTAAATGAATCGAATTTGCCTATAGTATCGGTTTGGGTTTTTTTTTTTTTTTTTTTTAACAACACAACTATATGCTACCTAGAAGAGAATATAACTCTTCAGAAAGATTGAAAATAAAGACATACCAGACAAATCCCAATGAATGAAAAGGTAGAGTAGCAATCTTAACATCAAAAAAAAAAAAAAAAAAAAATAGACTGCAAGGCAAATTCAATATCAATAGGAAGAGAAACAGAGGGTCACTACAAAAGTTAAGAACAGACCACATAGAACATAAAAATAATCATGATACATGTGTGTTACAGCAAAATTTGGCTGAATTCAAAGATAAAATGAGCAAATCCACAGTCATTATGGGAAATCTTACACATTTCTATTGAAATATGACAGGTAATAAAAAAAGAGGTTAAAGACTTTGAAGATTTACCCAACATTATTTAAAGACTGTTAGAATTTGTGGTAAAGGCCTATGAGCATATCTGCACATTTGACGTCATAGTAGGTCATCAGAGGAACCTCAGCTTTCAGAAAATCATTAGTGAGCAGATGACATTGTCTGACTGGGATGCAGTTAAATTAGAAACCAGCAATAACATGATAAAGGATACATCTGGAAACTAAAATGGTATATTTCTAAGGAACTCTTGGATTAAAGAAGAAATCATAGTGGGGGTTTTGAAATGCTTAGAACTAAATGACAAAAATAATACTTGCTGTGCAGTGCAGCTAAGGAGTCAATCCAAGATAGAGGCAAAACGTTGAGTGCATTGATTGAAAAGAAAAGAATGAAAATAGTTGAGTATACTGCTCAAAAAGCTAGAAAAGAAAATAATAATTCCCAAATAAAATAATAAAAACAATTGTGGAGATTAGTGAAATAAGAAAACAAAGTAAACAGAATACAGTAAATATGGGCTTTATATATAGTGCAGAAAAAAAAAAAAAGGAGTAGTTCCTAAATATGAACTCATGGGAATCACATTGTAGAATTAAAGTTGAAAGAAACTGTTATCCATTTATTTGGGAAATGCCTTCTGCGAGAAGCAACTTTTCAGGAACCAAAACCAGGCACAGGAGGTGAAAATTCTAGACAAGGGTTGCAGCTGAGGATTAGGCATCAAGAATTTCTTTTATTGTTATTTTTCTAGAAGTTTTTTTTTTTCCTTTTCCCCCTGAAAGTCTCAACAAAAGTTTTGAGGAGTATTTCAAGTCAGGTTAATAGGAGATGGCTTTAAAATACATGGCAGCGGGGAACCACACCATGGAGTCTGAGAAACCTACATGTGAATATTATTGTAGAGATTATTCACATGGCTTCACCTTCAGAGAAGGCGCCACTACCTGAAGCTTGTAAATGACATCTGACCACATCTCTGAGTGAAGTATAGCATTTGGTAGGGCCAGGAGCAGCAGGGGTTACAGAGCAGCTCATGCTGCAGGAGTGTTTAGCACAGTGTTAGTTATAAAGGTGAAGATTTGCAAACAGCTCAAACAACTTTTGGGAAGTTGATTGAATATTTTATGATATAGCCACAGAGTGGGGCATCATGCAGCTGCTGAAAATGGCAGCATAGAAACCTACTTCTTGATAGGGACTTATGCTAAGGAAAGCAGATGGCATGACATAGTACTTTGGGGAGGAAAAGCAAATCACCCCTATACACACACACACAGAAAGAAAGATGTTTGCATGGATCTTATAGATGCCAGAATAAAACATTGTGCGAGTAATTTGAGGACTTTATCCACAGAGTCTAAAATGTTAACATTGAACATGAACTGAGTGAAATGAATAAGTAAATGATTTTTTTAATCTGAAGGAGAAATTTTTTTATTTAACTCTTCTTCAAAAAACCTTGTCATCTGACGTACTTTTCAAAGCTTGCCTTTTCATACTTTTTATTCACATTCATGCATTGACTTCCTAGGCGCCTACCTTCAAATCATGTCCTTGTAGGAACCTCACAGCAAACCACTACACTAAGCATTGGTGTCCCCCACCTGCTTCCCAGGTGAGGAGCTGAGGGCTCAAGAGGCTCAAGATTATGTTGGGTCCTTCCCTGATGTTGTGTCCAGTCATTTGCAGGGGCAGCTGTTTCACTTGTGATTTCAAAATACAGCGTGGGCATGGAGTGGCTTTCCTCTCCAGAGCAGATGGGCGGCTCTTCCTAAGGGCAAGGGGATCCCTACCTCCAGGAGAATTGCCAAGTGCAAAGCCAGCCCTGAGGGGAAGACTGTTTGAGAGGCTTTCTTGCTGACCACTCTAGTTCCTGAGCTGGCCAAAGAAAGCTCTTGCAGAATATGGACATGTGGATGAGATGTGTCAAGACTGGTCTTAGCCAGTGTAACTCCACATCATGTACAACCCCTAAAAATGGGAAGTTATACTCAATGTATGTATGATATGTCAGAAAACATTCTGCCATGTATAACTTAAAAGAACAAATAAAAAATATTTTTTTAAAAAAGGAAACAAATGCTACAAGGGCAGAGATTTCCATTTTATTTACAGAGGTATCCATACATCAGGAACATGCCTTGCATACAGAAAACCGTCAATAAATATTTTTGAAACCGTGAGGGAAAAAAACTGGTCTTAGGTAAAAGAGACTCAAGGTGGTTTTGAAATATGACATTATATGACTCTAATGTCACATTAGTTCTTGCCAGTATCTCTCCTGTGTTATTCATGCTATAGTTTAGCTGGTTTTATGATCTCCAAATTAAGGAGTCCTTGACGGTTATTCAGCCATTCTTATAGTGATCAAGCCCCAGTTTATTATAATCTCTTAGAGATACTACTTTATACCTTCCTTTGATCATTTTATGGGTTATTTTCCTGAAATTTGAAATAGCTCCACTCTTTTATTAGCAATCCTTACTGTCTGCGCCTGCACATGCTGTGTCCTGGGACTACAGAAATGATGCCTTTTTATGTCAGAGCCTCTGGAGCAGAAGGATGAGCAGCGTGCTGGGAATGTGCGGGTACGTTTGCTGTACTCCTTCTGCTTGTCTTTGCTCTACAGTGTGCCTCTGGCAGCCTTTGGATTATAAATTCCTATTTTATTCACTTTCAAGTATAACTTTTTGTTTCTTCTTAGATGTATTTTAAGTATTTTGCATTTTAATTATTAGGAAGCAGCTTCTGGCATGTTTATATAATATCTGTCTGTCT